GGCGGCCTGTCGTCCCAGCACTCTGGGGCCAGATGAGGAGGAGCGCTCGACGGGTCCGGAATTCAAGACCAGCCTGAAGCAAGAGTGAGACTCTGCTCTCTACTAAAAATGCGAAAGAATTAATTGGAAGTAAAATATATGGAAAGGCGGGCCAGTGCTCACGCCTGTATCCCAGCAGTCTGGCAGGTCGAGGGGGTGGATTGCTCGAGGTCAGGAGTTTAAAAACCATCTGAGGCAACTTCGAGACCCCTGTCTCTACTATACACAGAAAAGAAATTTTGACAACTGAATATTATTAATATAATAATACAAAATTAGCCTGGCATAGGTGGCGGCTGCTGTATCTCAGCTACGTGGGAGGCTGAGCAGGAGGATCACTTGAGCCCAGGAGTCGGAGGTTGCTGTGAGCGGGAGGTGACGCACAGCACTCACTCTTAGGCCCTGGGCGACAGAATGGGGAGACTCTGTCTCAAAAAGACAATAAAATTATATATTAATATATATATAAAAATTAGTCAGGCGTGGTGGGCATGCCTGTAGTCCCAGCTACTCGGAGGAGTGAGCAGGAGGATCGCTTGAGGCCCAGGAGTCTGAGTTGCTGTGAGCGAGGCTGACGCCACGGCACTCACTCTAGCCCGGGAGACAGATGAGACGTCTCAAAAAAAAAAAAAAAAAGAAAAAAGAAAGCTGCCGATCATGTCCAATAAGCACAAGAAGGGGAAAACCGACAGTACAGTCAATTTCCAAATTCCAAGCAGATTGTTCCACAAGTTCGCTTACGGGTTCTGAGCTCAGAACTCCTATTTCCTTCCGTCCGAATGACGGCACGCACAGACGGAGGCTCAGTCCAGACCAGCCGGGCGATTTTCTTCTAGAAATCCTCCCTTCACACTGTTTTCCCCGTCGGTTGTTTCTGCCCGCTCTTATTTTCTGAATCTGCAGGGGAGCCAAGTTTAACCGGCCGCACGCCCGCGGGCTGTCGGAAGCATCGGGCCAGGGGTGACGGGCGCTTGGTACACACGGCTTGTTTTGATGGCCGTTAATTAATTTCAGGCCAAAACCCACACGTAGGAAACCGAGTAAGGATCTGCCAGTGCACACCGGCAAAAATCACAAACTTCTGCTTGACTAAGGAAATGTCTGGCAAAAGAATAAATCCTAAAGAGTAAGTATGCCGGTAAGCAAATAAAACCGTGTGGCAAAATAACTGGGTCAAACTCCAGCTCTTCCTAACTTTCTTTTTTTTTTTTTTTCCGAGGAATTCGGAGACAGAGTCTCACTCTGTTGCCCAGGCTAGAGTGAGTGCCGTGGCGTCAGCCTCGCTCACAGCAACCTCAGACTCCTGGGCTCAACCGATCCTCCTGCCTCAGCCTCCTCCCGAGTAGCTGGGACTACAGGCATGTGCCACCACGCCCGGCTCATTTTTTCTATATATATTAGTTGGCCAATTAATTTCTTTCTATTGGTCCTCAAACTTTTAAAACAGGGGGCCAGTTCACTGTCCCTCAGACCGTCGGAGGGCCAGACTATAGTTTAAAAAAAAAAAACAAAACGATGAACAAATTCCTGTGCACACTGCACAGATCTTAGTTTGAAGCTAAGAAAAGCAAACGGGCAAAAACACCCGCGTGTGGCCCCCGGGCCGCAGTCTGAGGACGCCTGGTCTAGAGGTTTGCAGATCTAGCAAATCTCTTCCCCGTAAAGTGTAAACTAAAAAAAAAATAACAAGAAAAATGTATAATAAATATTAAATAAAAAAAAAATAAAG